GTGAACACCTCCATTGTTAATTCTAATGAGTCTTATTTAATTTTAAAGGTTTCTTTTAAATCTCCCCTCCCTCCCACATATAGAGATTTTCAGTTTTCCCCACAGCTCTTGGAGAAAACCCCAAAATTGCAACATACCACTTCTTTCACACTCCCCCTTGAGATTCTGGTTTCATTTCAACCTTGTGTGGTTCAAGTGGGGAAACAGCAAGTACCCGAGCCTGCCAATGCAAGGAGAAAAGGCCCGTAAGGTGAGGGTCTGCATTTTTCCCTGGTATTGTTGAGCATCAGTCCGATGACGAAGCCCAACTGTGACACAAGTGGTACTCAGCCCATTGTGTGAGGTAGGCTCCTGCAGGTGGGTCAAGACCTGTGGGAATGTCAGTCACCCGAGGAAACTGAGATTTATGCCCACACCCAGCTTTCAGGAGCAGTTGCCAGCACACACCAAGGAGCAAAGCTGGGCAGGCTGTTTGCTGTGGTGCTCTGAAATCAGAACAGAATGTTCTTCAAGTTCAATAGGAGTCAATGCCTAAACCTTTGCTCTGCCAGAAATAACTGCACTGCTTTCTACTGTAAACAGAGCTCTGTGAAGTGAAGGACAGTAGCTTATTTGGAGCTGGAGAACACTGCTGCTGTCCCATAGAAAGCGTGATGGCACTGTGATGGCACCACCTCCCTCTGGTCATTGCTACCAGTGGGCATGAAGAAGAAATAGAAGGTGTAACACCTTAAGGTTAAAAAAGGTGCAGCTGGAAGAGCTCACCTGGCACCACATTCCTGGCAGCTGTAAATCACAAGGCTGGAAAGAGAATCCAAATCTCCCAGTCCTCACCCTGGTGCTTTCATCTTAGTGTTCTGGCTAATAAACACAGCCATTAAGCACACTACCAGCTTCCGTGTTGTTGGACTGCAGTGCTGGCCATGAGCTCTATGCTGAAAAAAACAACCCCAACCTTAAACTATAATAGTCCTCTAACTGGCCCAAACAACCCTTTTACAGTGCAACCTCATTCCACAAAGACATGGTAAAATTTGGGATGCAGCTCAAGGGGTTGCATTGCGATTTACACTGATTTCAGCCGAATGCCTCTCAATCTTCATAGAAATATGCTTGGAATAGTCAGCAGGTCAGATACCATGAGGATGTGTCTGACAGGCCGAAGGTAGGGTTAACTTGCCAGATGTTAGCGTTCCCAGCATGCCACACTGAAACCACAGCCCGAGTTCAGTGTATAACCACTGTATAAGAAGTCACATAAAGGAAAACTAACTGCAGAAAAGTGAGAGTATTTTCAGAACAGCACAATCGTGCCACTTTTTATCAGACACTGCATGTGACAGTTGCTTCCAGAGGCGAGCATCTAGACTCTATTATGTGTTCATTGATAAGAAATTCCAGTGCTTTCAGGCACTTCCTGTTATTCCAGCTCCAGCAGAAGGGTGGCCTCTCCTCTCTAACAGCTGCCCTCATGAAGAGTTTATGGGGATCTGTTTGACTGTGGATGAAAACAGTTGATGCAGGGACACAAGGGTGTCCCAGGGATAGTAAGCCTCAGGAGAAAGGAGGGGAAACTTGCAGCAGCAGCCTGCTTCGGGGGCACAGCATGGGCAGGATAAGTCTGCCAGGGTCCTCTTCTGCACCATTTGTAGATGAAAAAGAGAGGCCTTGGAATAATTAAGAACTTGATCCAGGCAAACTGATGAACTGGGGATGGAGACAAAATTGAAATGCAGGAGTCTTCATCCAAGCTCAGTTTTAAACAGCAGTTTTAGCCTTGTCTGTGTGGTCTGCTACACGTATGCAACTTTTAACTTGCCTTTCTGATACAGAGCAGTTCTTTCATACAGCCAAGCAGCACACGGGTTTGCTGAAAGAGGAGACAGATCAAATTTAGCGTTGTTCACAGAGGAACTCTCATACCTGCATAAAACACTGTTAACTCCAAGGGGTCTCCAGGCTCATCTGCAAGTCTTCCTGCTCAGATGTGACAGAAAGATCTGTGACTTACTCACTTCTCAAATCAGAATGGTAATGCTTTGGTAGTTTTAATGGGTGGGACAGATGAGCAGAATTAGCTCACATTACAGACAGTGTGGAATCCTTCATTACTCAGAAGTGAAAAAAGACATAAAGGGTAAATAAAGTCAATCTCAATCCTTAGGATTTTGAAATGTCTAGCAAGTAGATAGCTATTGGCAAAATGTGAAAGGCTAGAAACAAGGCAATCAGGAAAAACACGAACAATATCATTATGACATTAGAAAACTGGGTATCACTTACCTAAATTAGAGCTGTAAGTCACTTCTGCTAGATGAGAATTTACTGTCTCATTTGCAGCACATTCTTCATGGACTTACCATCTTTTAATCAAAATGTGGCAAGAACACTTCTTCTGGGATCTTACCTTTCATGTTGGATACCAAGAAACTTGGTTTAGAGCTACATAGTTTGTGCAACTGCTTTCCCATGGGTTGGTGAGCAGGGTATGGAGTTCAAGTACCAGTTTGGGAACGGTCACTGAAAAGCCCCAAACCATCTCTTTGTTCTGCCAAATCATGCTCTTACTGTGTTTTCAGAGCTGTTAATCTCCTCCTGACTTCCAAAAGATCAACTCTTATTTCAAAAGCAAGTAAATAGGCACTTATTTCTCTTCAGTTGTCTGCTCCTTGTGTACAAGCAGAATACTATTACCTTGTGGCCTTTCAGTCTGCTGGAGGTCTAATTGTTTTCTTAGACTGACTTCCCAAGGAAAGGAGGTGTACCTGACCACATGGAGCAAGGGTGCCCTACCAATAATTGTGAGAGGCACTGTCCATATTTGTACAGCCCTAATTGACAGAATGGCAGAAATACTAAAGAGATCTCACAGTGCCCCAAGGTTTGCTACATGGGGTGCCCTGAGAGAAGAACAAGTCATTATTTGTCTTAACGGGACACAACCTGCAGTGTTGCCCAGGTTATTCTCACAGCAAAGTGTATACATCGGAGAGAGAGCACTTAAAAACCTCCCCAGTTAGACTGCAGGACAATACAAGCAGCCTGCTGTTGGCAGGTTACAACTACTCACAACTGCCATCAACAGCGTAAGTTGATTGAATCTGCTCTCTTCCCAGGTAAACAATGAGAAAAGCAGTTATTAATGTGTCTTTAGACTTCCTCATCAGATAAACATGGGTTAAGGAAAGCCAGGGAAGGAGTCCTTGGAAAGATACAGAAAGGCACGTAACTCCTGAGCAAGGAAAAACAGCCACTGAGGAAAGCAGAGGCATTATCACCCTCAAAGACCAGGAGAGATTAGCAAAGGGGACCAGAACAAGGACCCCATGTACACTTTAAACTTAAAGCTGAATGTCTGTGGACCTACAAGTTCAGGTTCCAGAGATTCCTGATCAGTGAATTGTTACTGGCACCCACATGTTCCTGCTCAACCGTTTAGCTGTACGTGTCTGTTAGAGGATGGACTAAGTTACCTGATGGCTTAGATGCTAACCATTCTGATTTATAACTTCGCCAGCAGTAGGGAAGCTCTAAATCCAAGACTGCAATCAACCACAAAACACAAATCCTTAAAAAAATAAAGCAAAACTATATTTTCAGGGCTTTACAACCTACTACTTATACCTGCAAAACTAAAACTAAGATAAATCAGACAGTACTCAAGGCCTGAGGGCCCTGGTCTCTACTCCACCCCACAATAACCCACAACAGAAAGTTTCAGTTGGGCAGATTAACCCAGAGCAGCAGCTCAGCACAGGTGCCTCTGCAGACTAACCCAGCGGAAAAGCGCAGCCCGAGTGGTGTAAACCAACAGCACCATGGCTTTCAGATCCCACATCGAGGCTCAGAAAAAGCTTTCCTGCAACCTGAAAGCAATAACAGAGGTACTAAATGGTGTCTTATGAAACTGCTTCTAAACAATCTCTTTTCAGAACTTCACTATGTTTATGCAGTCCAGCAGCTTGAAGTAAGACATCACACAGGCTTCAAATCCTCTACACAACCCAGTCTGCATTGTGCAGGCAGACGATGCAATTCTTCTCTTCTTGGACAGCCTGCCTGTCCCAGGCCCTCTAGAGACCAACGTGTTCCCAGGACCGAGAGTCCTGGGAGCAACACAAGAGCTTGAACCCCACCACCCGAGTTTCTCAATTAACTGCACAAACATAGGACATCAGTGCTCATGCCACAGTAACGCAAATCCACACTGCGAATGAAGGACTAGTGACCTGCCATTTATAATGGAAATACAAAGTATGTGACTGATTTTTCAGGGTACTGGTTGGATCACAAATCCAGCTTCATTCTAACATTCCTCCTGCACGTTACTTCCAGTGAATGAAGCAGAACTTGGCCTCAGGTTAGCAATTTTGCGTACTGCACCTTCTCTGTGTTTCCTAAATTAGACTAAAAATCAGGGTTACAACGAGAAAAAGCTACTAGACAATGGATATGTGACAAGCATGTTTAATAGACTCATTTTCCACTCAGAACAGTGTGACAAAAAGAAAACACAGACCACCACCAAAAAAATCCCAATGACAAATACGATCCGGAATCAAAAGCCTTTCACATTCTCCTTTTAAATCTGTCAGAGAAATGGTTACTGACATGGCCAGGAACACTGTGGCATTTATGTACTTTACCAGAAGAGTAACAGAAACCTCAGTAGTAGGCACCAGTAATATGAGGCAGGAGCTATATATTTTGGTGAAATTCCAACAGTATTCTGTCAGCTACTGACCCCCATGTGTGGTATATTCCAGAAAGGACTACAGTCTTTCAAGCCTGCAGCACTGCAATGGCTGCTGGATGTGCAAGATGATTAGAAATTGATGCCTACCTACTGCCCAAAAATTTCAGAAGGAAGGCTTTTTCTCACTTCCAAACTGGAACAAAACACTTTGCTTAATTAAAAGAAAAAAATCACAGTATGCTACAAAACGGTTAAGAGCATCTACAAACAGAATTAACTTCTTAAAGCTAGGAAAAAACCTTTATCAATATCCTAAGACAGATTCATCCCAAAGTAGCTCCTCTTCCTTTTTGACATCTGCCTGTAGTTTCTTTTTATCCTTTCTTTGCTTTTTGCTCTCTTTCGCAACAGGGTTTTTTTTACGTCTTTTAACTTTACAAGGTCTTGGTTTCTTCTCATTTACTAAGTCTATCTCAAATTTAATTCTCTTCTGCTTCTCTTTTCCAAAATCTGTACCTTCACTATTTTTCTTTCTTTTCCACTTCGTGACTTGGTTCTCGTACTTCAGCTCTTTGATAATGTATTTTTCCTCCTCAAAGTGTTGTATCTGAAATTTTTGCTCTTTTTTGTAGGAGCTGGTAGAAGTTTCAGCAAGCGTGAGTCTGTAGCAGTCTTTCGATTCCGTAACCAACAGGCTGAAGCTCTTATCTCTGAGGGTGGCCACCTCAGATGCTTGCTCTTCTTTGCAGTATCCCTTCTCACAGCAACGATTCGCTGTCTTTTCTAGGGCATGCTCACAAGCTGATGGCCAGCTTGGCAGTCTGTTTTCCCCAGTATTTGCAGGTGACAGGTTTTCTGAGAAAAGACTGGAATGCTGGCCTTGTTCACATTTCAAGTTTGAAGATAGAACCTCACCAAGGTCACTTCCTCCTTCAGTGGTTTTATCTTGAAATTCTACCTCTTCTGCTTTTCCTAAATACCTCCTTCGCTCTGCACCTCTAGCTTTCTGAGCTTTCATGTAATCCACTAACTCATCTTGAAAGGAGTTAAATGTTTTCTTTGATGTCTTCATGAGATTCACAAGCACTGTTTCTCTGTATAAAATTGGATAGAAAGTCTTAGTTATTAATACTGACCAATTCGCTTAGCATCAGTGGAGTCAAAAAAAAAGTCATATTTCCAGAGTTAGGGAAATACTCCAAGTGTGGAACTAGATGGACCCTGTTACACACCACTGTGACTGTAAAGCTGAAGTTACAGAGAACAGAATCTACTCTTCGTGAAAAGTGAAGAGCCAGAATAACTTCACAAAGACCATATGAGTTTGTGACCTAGGATGCTGCAAGAATAAGATGCTTTCAAAATATGTTGCATGTTTTTAGAACAATTTTTGAAAATTTAAGATTCTCAATCTCCCATTAGCTGCAGATAAGCAGCAATTACATTATATAGTGTCAAGTAATAAAGTTCCTCATTTTTTGAGATTCATTCTGTTGAACAGTTGCAGCAGAGTTATTTCAGACAAACTGTGCAACTCCACAGCAGAAACAAAGCAGAACAGAAACAACCAACCTGCACTGCTAAAAAACCCAAACAAGATAAATGTGGTCTTAAGACAAAATGAGCTATCAGTTTATATTCTACTCTACCTTTCCTCAGGCTGAAAAATTAAGTGGTTAGATGACAAAGATACCCACTACGGGAAGCGCAGCTCTGAAAACACATTCCTTAAAAGTTTCTTGTTCTGCCTTAATTCACCAGCTTTATACATTCATTTTGTTAAACTACAGGTATGCTTGTAGCAGTTCCCTAAAAATCGTCGTTTTCTAATTCTGTTGAGTAAACAAACATTAAAACGTTTGGGTGCTGGTAAATAAGAAGCTGAACACGAGCCGGCAGTGTGCGCTGGCAGCCCAGAAAGCCAACCGTATCCTGGGCTGTATCAGGAGAAGTGTGGCCAGCAGGTCGAGGGAGGGGATTCTCCCCCTCTACTCTGCTCTGGCGAGACCCCACCTGGAGTGCTGCATCCAGCTCTGGGGTCCCCAACATAAGGAGGACATGGACCTGTTGGAGCAGGTCCAGAGGAGGCCACAAAGATGATCAGAGGGCTGCTATGATGAAAGGCTGAGAGAGTTGGGCTTGTTCAACCTGGAGAACAGAAGGCTCCAGGGAGACCTTATAGCACCTTCCAGTACCTGAAGAGGCCAACAAGAATGCTGGTTTACAAGGGCCTGTAGTGATAAGACAAGGGGTAATGGTTTAAAAAGAAAGTGGGGAGATTTAGATTGGGTATCAGGAAGAAATTCTTCATGGAGATGGTGATGAGGCATGGGAACAGGTTGCCCAGGGAAGCTGTGGATGCTCTATCCCTGGAAGTGTTCAAGGTCAGGTTGGATGGGGCTTTGAGCAAGCTGATCTAGTGGAAAAGGGGCTGGAACTAAATAATCTTTAAGGCCCCTTTCCAACCCAAACCATTCTATAAGTCTATAGTATCAATTCTATGTCAGTCTCCTGTGGTTGTATTATTATTGCTCCTTCACTTAAAATGTGTCTTATCAAAATGTTTAACATGTAAGCATTTTTTATATTTAGCCTACTCACACAGCCCTTAACACAGCCTACAAGCCCCCTTCTGGGTAAAGGGGAAAGTACAAGAGCTATCATCTATCCCACATTTGGCATAAGACCATTTGTAAGATGTACGCTGATGAATCCTGAAAGCAACAAAATTGATGGAGACTTGGCATTTTTGGGGATTAGTCTTCCTTGTCCTGTCAATAGGAATCTTTAAGATCATTTCGTTCTAGGCTGAGCACCAAAGATGCTGTACCAAAATAGGTGCTGCTATCCCCAGACCGTGAAGTGGGACGACTGTACAGGTTTCACAATCTTTCCTGTGGGTTGTCACTGAAAATGCAACCATGGGAACTCTAAGACTGAATTTCAGTCACTAGTACGATGTTTAAATGGACAGTGGCCCTTAAAACCAGTAAACCAAACCACAAATAAGAAAGACCCAACCCAAAACATAACACCCACAGACAAATCAAAGTCACTTAACAGCAGACAACAGGTCTAATGAAGTTTGAAGGTACAAACTACAGAGGAATAGTAACAAAAGGCTTGCTGACTTACTTAATCCAGTGCTTATTTCCTTGCATGTGGGACTGGTACGTTTCTATAGAAGTAAGTGGGATGTTACATACGGTGCACATGTAATAGCCAACCCCAACTGCTGAAAAGGAGGAACTTGCATGTTAGAGAGACTGCAAACGAAAGGCAAAACTCAAAGCACATCACAATCCCATCCCATGCAAGAGTCCTAATATAAAACATTCCAATAAAGAGCATTTATAGACAGATACACAGTCTGCTGCAGTTTTAGACTAGAAGAATAGTTATGAAGGGAGCTGGTGAGGTGCACAGTTGCAGTGGTTTAGACATTAACAAAGAGTATTCCTGATGACTGAACTGATCCAAGATAATTCCAGTAAACTGCTGTCACGTGCTGATCAGAATGGACTGTACTGAGAATTTAAATACTATCGTAGATACCTTACCCAAAGCAAGCACCGACAGATACCAATTGAGTTAGTCCAGGTTTAATTCAAGTAAGATCAGTCTAAACATTACCTGCTCAAATGTTCACGCAGTGCTGGTTCAACCCTGTGAAGATGCTGAGGGAATTGTTGATACAGTACATTATGAATATGGTACACAGAGCCTCTGACAAATGTAAGGCAAGATCAGATGAGAAAAAACACTTGTGTTTTTAGGTTATCACTTTCTCCTCTCCTACAAGCTGTGTCATCCATAGATCTAAGTATTCTGAAACCAGTGAGTAACGTTTTTCCCCATGCAAACCCGAGAGCTTCATCCATTAGCAAAATGCAGCATTCATTCCAAAGGGATACCACTGCGCATCAAAAAGTATCATTTTGTTTAAAATATAGCATGACTTCACGAGAGCTGTTTTACACCAACAATGACTTCTGACTATCAGGTAGGACTTTGAATTCCATACTAGGGAAAGGATTGACAGTTCCTTTGCACAGGACCAGATGACGTGTCCTCAAAATGAATGGAAGTTGCACAGCAACAAGGGGATGGCTTCAGACACAGTGCTTGAGCTGGAGACAGTCCTGATGGGAGGCTGGAGGACAGTGATTGTTTAGGAAAAAAAAAATCTCCTTATGTGGGAACATTGAAATAATTAGGACAACTCATGAAGAAAAGATTAAGGGAAGACATGACACCAGTTTTCAATTATTTAAAAAGAATGTGCCAAAAAGGAAACAAATTATTCCATTCTTGCATCTGCTTCTTGTTTTGTGCACGGTGAAGAAATACATTGTGGTCAAAGAGAGCTCAGTTCAATGTCAGTAGGTGGTTTTAAGATCAAGAAAGTAAACACCAAGAAGTCCTGGGAGATGTTCCTTATGGACATGGAGTTTCCAGCACAGACAGTTTTTAAGAACAAGGTGGATGAACATCTGGAGAATGACAGAGATACCACTGGCCTTGGACTTAAGGGACTGGACTATTTTCTATGATCCTTTGAATTTGCAGAACTTGGTGAGGACTGGATTTGAGCCTCCAAGTCAATAATACTTTCCAACCTACAGCTGTCAGAGACAGAACTTTACCTGTTCATAGACCAAGCAGAAGGGAAGAAATTAACTTCTTGTGTTACACAGGAGAAGACTATCATTTCCTTGTACACATCAGGGCAGTTCCTTGAACAAATCAGAACTGAGCACTCAAGCTACACTCAGATCACAACACTTGCTCATGTTCTGCTTACCATTTGTGCTGGATTCTGCAGGGACAGCTTGGTCTCCTAGCTCCTCCAGTATCTTCTCCCGTGCTTCATTTCTTCTGTGTTTCTTACCAACATAATGCTGCTGGGCCATAAGTGGATTATTGAAGGGAGCACAGCAGAGCTTGCAGTACTTGTTTGGATCATGTGACTTCAACCTTGGGATGGGGGATGATCCTTCAGCTTTTGAAGGCAGCAAGGGCTTCTCAGCTGGTGGTTTCTGTAAAGCTGGAGACATGGAAGTAGAGAACAAATCTCCTGACAGCACAGCAATGGAAATGATAAAACAATTCCATAGAGCAAAACACATGACTGCTGAACTACAGAGCTGGAAAGGGTAACAGTCTGCTGGGTGCTGAACTACTTGTAAGAGACTATAAAATACCTTAGTCCTTGCAAGAACATGAAAGTACAGACTGACAAGGAACGTAACCATGGAATATTCACAGCAACCCCCCTATTAGATACCTAAACCAGCTGTGTCTGACGGCTGGTCACTGAGGTCTTTATACAGTCCAAGAGGAGAGATGTACACTGCAGATGATGATTCAGAACACAAACACTACGCTCCACCTCAGCAACTTGTCCAGGACTAACACCAGTTAAGTGCTGCTCGTGGACTAATTGGTTTTTAATTTTTTATCATATTAATTTAAATCAGAGGAACATCTTGTTGGGACTGTAGTGAATTCTCAGAACAATAAACACCTTTCATTAATGAAAAAACAGGAATATTTGCCTTTAGTTTCAGTCAATGAAAGATAGGAAATTTGAAAGCAAGGTTCTCCAGGGTGGCACAGGGTAGCATCTCTGTCGATTCACCACAGGAGTTACCATAAGACAGCTCCAGAATAGAAAGGCATAGAGACACGGCAAGTGTAGGAAGATACCTCTCTATTTGTTTCACAGACTGACAGGAAAACACATGCAAAGCAAACTATTTAGTTCTTACCAGAAATAGACTGCATGCTCTGTGCTGGCATGTGGACTTGGTCTCCTAATAATCGCTTCTGCTTTTTTGCATGGATCTTTCCCATGTAGTGAGACAAAGCAACAATCGGGGAAGTAAAACGCATGTGGCAGAGATCGCAGTATTTGGTTTTGTCCATTACTTCACTCCCATCCATCTGCAACCAGAGAAAAGCCAGCTCACTTACAAGCATTGACTGAAGTCTACAAGGCAAACATTTTATTTAGCAATGAAGAGGAATAGTCACCTGAAAATTGATACTATCTGTTTTCTTCTGTTTCCCATGTTCTGGTCTCTCACCTTTCTCACCACACATCCTGATGTAAAGGCGAACTTTCTGAGCATGTTTTTTGCCCTGGGAAGAGACTAGGATTATTCCTGTTTCATTAACAAGGATCCAAGCAGTGGCACATCCAGTGACTGAGACTTCATTCATTAAAAACTGCTTTCAACTCTTGCCAAATTGTTATCTGTAGGCAGAGCCACAAGCAGACAAACACCAGCTCATGTAACAATACTATACTTTAACCAATAATATAGTATTTAGCATTACTCATAACATTTTGCCTCAGGCAGCCCTCGGGTTTATCTACTCTCAACGATTTGGGGAATCAAAAATACTGACAAGTCCCCTTGCAAACAGAGGATGCTAGAACAGGTAAGAAAAGGAATGCTGCCATGCCACAGAGCAAGTGTGCTGTGCTGCTTTACCACTAAGCCTGGGGGCTTGACATCAAGGCTGTCCTGTGTCCTGGAGCAGAGGAATGACAGGCAGCAAGACTCAAACTTCCTAAATAAGCAGTCTAGTCTCCTCATACAGTCAGTAGAGAGGAGCAGGTTTCCCTGGAAGTTAAGTATCTCCAGCTTGGAGTCAGCCTGTGGAGCAGCTATTTTACACCTTTCTCCAGTGGATACAATAGTTGAGGTAACTGAAATTTGGTGTTAATGTATACTTCCCTCAGATGCAATTATTTTTTAATTCTTAGATGCTCTCTCAACCCATTACCTTAAAACTCTTGCACTTGTAACACACCCACATGCCACCCTATACAGTTGTAAGCTACAAAGCAAAGGTAGTAACTTGCCTTCTCTGATCTTTTGCTTTTCAGATGTCTTAAAGATTCTGAGGAGCAGTGCAGGATATTATAACAATATTATCAAAAAGAAAGGGGACCTATCATACCTGGCTAGATAATACAGCTGAGAAAATAAAAATCAGTTATTTCCATCAGTTCGATTTGTAATGGTGAAGTCTGGTAACTTTACAACTGCATCTATTATCCTCAACTGGATTTGGATCCCAGAAAGAGAAAACCATACTGAGGATCTGAACTCTGAAGTTCTGACAACACAACTGTGCTTAAATTAAACTGAAGTAAGTAAGTACAACACCTTGCAAGACCTGAGTCTTAATGATGTGAACAGCAAGAAAGGCTTCTGACAGCAAGTGACATTTTAAACTAACTTTTCCAAGGAAAAAAAAAAAGACAGAAACACCTGTGCCTGCAAACCTGCACACCCTCGAGATCAAGTTTCAAAATAAAGCTTGCTTTCCCATATCCAGAGCAATATCCCAAGCCACACAGTTGTTCCAAGAAATGCTTTCAGCTTGATTCATACAACCAGCCTCAAGCAGACACTGGTGCAGAGCAGCATGTATGTATCACTGAGTGAAGCATCAGGGGGCATGACCTCAATCCTCTACAGCTAGCAGTGCCCCATGCCATACGTATGTTCTGGTGCAAATCTGCTTCAGTCCCATATACAGCATGGCCTGAACCTGCTCAGCTCCTTCTAAAACCATGCTGCAATGCGCAGGTGATTGCCCTTCACTATCACTGAACCTGCACCTTTCACAACATGCAAGTCTGGTTAATGTCTAAGCTTAGTGTAAGTCAGTCTTTTATAACACCATGTAGAAATCCCAAACAAATAAACCAAAGCCCCAGTGCTCTAGAAAGGAGATACTCTGCTTTCTAGACTACCTTATAGTGCGACGTCCTTTGAGACTCAAACTGCAGTACTGCCCTGCAAACCTTACAGAAGGTGTCGGTGAAAAGGTCCTTCCTTGTTGCCTCATCTAAAATGTCATCTAAATGGAAAGAGCAAAAGACAACCAGCCAGCAGTTAGGATAAGATATATTTCCATCTCTCCGCTTACAGAAAACATAACCACTTGAACAGTCTGCAGCACAGGATGAAGGAAGCAGTGTTCACCCACTGAATCACACTGTGCCTTCAACACAACGCTGTAAAGCTACTAAACCTTCCTGCTTACAGAAGTATTGCTCTCATGGACATATACAGTACTACAAGAGTACCAGGCTTTAAAAACAAGAGGCAGACACTCTGCATTGGGCTTTCAGTCCACTTCAAATGGGCAACAACATCAGAAATACTTGACTAATGGCCTAAAAAGAAGAATTTTAACCGGACTAGATCGCACCGTTAAATATGGGGAATACTCCTTAAAGAAGGGATTTAAAGGAAGCCTGGGAGTAGGTCAGTACATGAGAAAGGCCAAAGGTCTAATGAAGCTTTTGGCAGAGATTGCAACAAGGACTGTGTGTCAAAATGCCCCTGTCTAGCACAGTTTACCAGTCTCTGAAATACTAATCGCTTTCTAATAAAACCTTTATTTTCATGAGGTACGATGGCCAGGTGAGTAGTCTTCTAGAGCTTTTGGTTTCTGTATTTTGAGTCTTCCAGAGGTGTTCAGTGTTCTACAGTTACTGATTCACGTAGCCTAGTTGGTTCAAGAGGAGGACCAGAAGATGAACACAATAAACAACTTGAGTTGATCCACACCAGAAAATCCAATGACAGTTCTGGGCATTAGATTAAAGCCTATCTTGCACCCGAAGCGCACAAATTGCCAGTGTTTGTAGCAGGAAAGCCACTTACAGAGGAAGTGTACACCAGTTTGCTCAAGTGTGCTGAGCTGTAAAAACAGCTACCTAGAGAAAGATAAACTGAACAATAGTCCCTATTTAAAAAACAACAATAGGCAAATTGCAAAGCAATTAGGCAGAAGTCTATGAAATGCTACTATCATGGGCAGTATTCGCTATATTTCAATTTGCATAGCTTCTCACTGGACAGATCTTTGAAACACGATAGTATTCTATGCATATTTTCCTTGACTGAGCAATGAACTGCACAGCCTTCTCGGCAGACAAAAACCCACCCAGCGCATGTTACAAAAATATCCTAAAACCACTGTAATGTGAAATTAAAATGAAGTTTTTAATTCACCACCTTCTTGGCTCACCGCTGCAATGGAGAGATTGGATTACATGGACCAGAAGTCTGGTTGTCCAAGTAACTCCTATTGTGCCTCTTGGAGCGGTCCCAAACCCTGCTGTGTCCTTGTCCTCAGTGGCATTCTGCAGTAATTGATGAATTGCACTAATATATATTATGGGGACAGCTTTAAATACTGCTTTTCATTGTTATAAGATTTGTTTTCATACTTCAACATCATAACAAGGCTGAGAGGACTTGAGTTACTTAGATTCTTTCTTTTTTGTAAATTTATAACATCATCTTCACTCTCTTTTCCCTTCAGAGCGTTGTTTTCTATTTCTCATTAAATCTTTTCCATTTTTCTCCTCCTAACACTGTTGTCCCTCACTTTTGGCTCTGTCTTTCCTCACAATGAGGTTATGCTACTACAGCCGAGAGAGCAGCAACGAATGCAGAACTGCAATAACCTCAGTCAGCCTCCCACCTCAGGCTAACACTGGTTTCCCACAAGAGACATATCTACAAAAACAGAGAGTTCACAACATTTGCCTTGATTTGGGAATCTTAAAGATTTGCTCTACTCCGTGTTCATCCATGGTCACAGGAGGACTATTAACACATCACATGAAATAGGTAGGGTTCCCCAACAGTAACTTGACTGGGGAATGCAAACCATCATCACGCTGACGTAACCAGCTTTCACACAGTTCTTGGCATTCACCTGCTGTTATGTCAGCCATAGCATGGGAGTTCAGCTCTCGCTTTGTCAGGATAATACAGCTAAGCACAGCATCATCATGCCTGTTTTCCTTAGACCAAACAGTGCCAAAACATCCTGATCAGCAGCTGCTACCCAAGTTGATCAGGAGCACAGCTACCTAGCACTTTTGAAAAAAGCTGGATAGCCACCTTTAAAAAAAAAAAAAAATCTGATAATTTCAGCTTCAAACCACACAAAAAATGTATGTGTATATATAAAAAACCTTTTTCTTTTTATTTTCTGTATAGCTAGCCAATTTTTAGACAAATATATATGCCTTGGATAACATTTCTACATGGTTTTCTGACAAACTACATGGAAACAAATTCAGGAATAAACTGATGCATCTTTCACTTAAATCCCAACCAGGCAGTGAGTTTTAAATGGTCTTCAGTCTGGTCTGGGCAACTGCAGGCTCCTTCCCAATACCAGCCACACACATCAATAGCCCCCTTCGCTGTGTGACATGTCTCTGCTCACCTCCAGACAAAGGTCAAGAACAAGTCTGACCTGTCTCCTTTTAATTATGCCTCAGGACAGTTTGTGACACACAAAAATGACAGAGCATGGGAAGATCTACACTACCCCGGCATGTGTGCAACCAGTTCTATAAATAAAGCTGAACTTGAGGTCTCCAGCTTTCAGACTCACAAGACATCTTTCCTGGCAACTAAGAAGAAAATTTATTTTAAAAAATAGCTTGCCTTACAGTTTTTGCAACCATGCCAACAGAACCTTTTCAGAGAGCTGATCAAAAGCAGCAGCCTTGCAGAACTGCCATACTGACCTTGTCATTTCTATGCTTCCAAAATGTTCATTTAAAGGTACTGGAATGAATTCGGAGCAACTATTTGGATCAGCTTTAAAGCTTTTTCAGGTCATTAATAAATGTTTCACTAATCAACTACTGTTTGTCACAAAGGGACTGCTCCTTAATAAAAGGATATGGATTAAAGTGTTTTAGAAGCACAAGACGTGAGATTGATTTTTTTTAAATTAAAATACATAAATGTTCATGTTCCATGATGAATTCAACTAGTAATTTTCAGTGTAACTTTTCCCTTATTTTTAGGCAATTCTCTCCTCAAAATTTTACATCTGTCAACAGCCTTCAGAGGAAAAAACAAGTCTCAGGACTATCTGGACCCGAGTCCTTAATCGAGCCCACACTTCCTATATACCAATGGCAATATTTTCTCATGTACTTCTAGGTAGATCTTATGGGTTTGTCACTGGCAGTTTTCGCAGATATATTCTGAAACCTATGGTAGGTAGTAGTGCCACAGACATGCTGAGAGATCTCATGTTTTGCAGGGTTCACTGACATCCTAAGAAAAGACCATTCTGGTTTTAATTTCTGTGCACCTCCAATTCCTGCAACTGTACCATGGCAGAAATTAGTTTCTACTGCAAAGGGATGAGTTTAAACTAATTCTTATGAATGTAACTGTTGCTTAGTTTGATAGGTCCTTTCAATATTATCCTAAGCAACAGAATAGGCATAAACACTGTTAACTTTAAATTACTGTTTTCAGTTAGGGTATGAACAACCTTGGTTTAAATTTCTTGGTTTTCTTAGAAAACAAGTGTTTCAAACCAAGTGCTTTTGTAAGTGGCTCCAGACACCAACATCTTGCTATTAAAGTATAAAACAAGTAGAATGTATCAGAGAAGGACACAGTTCCTCCCTTCTACCTAAGCTGCATTTTACAAGTTACCTTTTGTAAAGGTCTTAGTGAGCAACTGCCAATAAAATACACCCCTGCCACAATCTCTCACTGTAGTGACTGCTCCACACTTGCAGAAGGGAGGGAATTGTTCCTCTTTCTAATGGTGCTTTGGCTTCAAAAGATTGCAAGTCCCACCTTGTGGAGAGTTAGTAACACCAGCTCATCTTCGCAAGGATCAGAGTAGCTGGGGACTTTGAGCCTGGTGAGCTACAGCAGTAGACAGCTACGGCCAGCTCTGAGCATACGTAGCAGAGCCAGGTCAACCCAGCCTGGGAGGAGTTCCAGATGGCAAGCATACACCTAACACAGATGGGTTAAAAACCTATGCAGTCTTACTTCATAGCCAGTAGTTAAAGAAAATCTAGTTCCACAGGAAAAAAAAGAAAGAAGTATATTTTCAGATGTTTGCAAAGAGCGGAGAAGCAAGCCACAGGGCAAACTGACCATGTCCTCTTCTTTGAAAAGATAATGTGTGTGTATTTGCGACGTTACAGTTCCCTCTAACTCAATGTTCTGCTTAAGCAGCACTTGGAGCTCTGCTTCATGACTTTTTATGATGCCACCTTTGAAGCTTGAGATGTAACCTAATAATTTGATTCAAATCTAATTTTTCAGTAAGTTGTTCTCACACAAATCACTGAAGATTATGTGCTGAAGACCATTGAAACTTTACAAAGACTGGTGCAAGGAAAGTTTCCTAAACACATCATAGAATCACAGACTGGTTTGGGTTGGGAGGGACCTTAAAGACCACCCAGTTCCAACCCACCTGCCATGGGCAGGGACACCTTCCACTAGACCAGGTTGCTCAAAGCCTCATCCAGCCTGGCCTTGAATACATCCACTTTCACAAAAATGAGTTCTTATTCTTATGTCCAATATAATTTATAAGAATGTCTGAGTCAATAGAAAAATATGTTAAAGAGGAAGTAGACCATAACAATAAATGTATGCTTTAAACACAGCATCCTTTGTATTGGTATAATTTTGACTGGCATCTTCTGAGCATGTTCAGAAGACACAGAAACTTAACATATCATATGAATTGAAATGAAAAGCAGTCTGACATAATAGTGAATAACACATGTGAAGACAAAGAACACAAAGTATCACCTAAATATCCAGGTGATATCCAATATATTTACATTTTTCCTCATTTGTTTAGCATTCATTAAAATTCTTCTCCAGAGATGTGTTTTATACAATGATTTTTTTAATGTAGAGAAAAAAGCCAGCCTAAATCAATAGACAATGAGGAGCAATCACTAGGCAATGAGGAACACATTCTTAAAACAAGATCAACTTGATTGTTTTAATGTTCAAACACTAAACTATGGGCATTGAGAAGGCAATGGGAACTGCAAGTGTTCAGCATCTCTCAACAAAACTGAAGCAATTAAAATAATTTTTTTTTTTTTACAATAAAAAATCAAAATAAGAGGTGGATTTTGGAAATTCAGAACCGAACAGGTTGCCTAATAATAGTAAATCAGACAGTGTCTGAAATGAAAGATAATTATTTGCTTAATGTTTTTAAATTTTCAGTTACAATCTTTAAAGCACACACAGCATTTTTGTTTTTTAAATCTTCTTCAATGGAACAGCAATTTAGTTAAGGCATTAAAACACTGATGTGAGAAGGCTTGGGGACATTTTAACATTATTGTAATTGCATATTTTATGACTTGAGAGAAGTTCAAGGACATCTTTTCAACTTTAAATCTTTGCCATATCTTTTCTTAATCTATCTGGGTTAATTGTAGAGGAATCTTTGTGGTGTGCCATGTAGGAAAGGCAGGGAAAAAAGTCTTTCCTCAGGGCAGTATAAACGTGGTAGGAAAAATACTAATATTAATTAAAATATCAGGGACCAGGTAATTTTAAAAAGCCTGTTCAGCCCAGGATTTTCTGCCACTTGATTAAAAAGGAAATGCTCCCAGCTTTAGTGTATTATTAATTTTTCTTTCCCAATTCTTGAGGGTAGAGAAGACAGAAAGCCAAATAATGTAGTAAAGAAAAAGTCTAGGCTAGACAAATCCCTGAAGGCAAAGGTATCAAGTTTCAAGTTCAAGGTACTGAACACACAAAATGACATAGCCAAATGCTGCCCTCGAACGCCAACGGCAAACACAGCATTTTAATGAGAAATAAATGGATATACATGAATCAAGTTCAAGTCCTCAAGAACAAGTACTGACCCACATATTTTCTCATTTTACAAGCCCTTTCACTTGGCTGTCTCCAAGGCACAACTGGACCAGCACAAGCAATGGGGTTAGCACATCTTATCCAGCTACCACCTGTCAGTCTCACTGTAACCGAGTGTGCATGCCAAAGCCTGTCCCACATGCAGAGTAAACCAGGTTAATTTACACCACGTGCACTACATTAATTTGCTTTACTCTGCAAGCAAGAAAGGCAGGAGCCTGCACACAGTTACCTCATCTCAGCTGACTGGCTGTAACTTTACATGATGTGCAAACTCTATTGCTTGTAATCAGGCAAACACATTCCTACTCCATAACAGAATCAGAGATGAACAAGAGCATGAATGCTTGGAGTATCAGCTGTCCATAACTGCAGGGAAATAGCATCATTGAAATCCAGTCCCTCTTGGCTGTGATACAGCAAGCAAGCACAGTCACTGTACAGTAAGATCCAGAAACCAACCTTAGAAATAAACTCAGATATCCACAGATACCCAACTTAGAGAAAGGGCACAAACTTCAGAAACCTTATCAAATACACTGAACTTTGGTATTACAAGCCCTGCATTCCTATATGGAGAAGGGAGGGTGAGCCATACAAATTACAATTTCTGCAATTAGGTGAAAAATGTTTCTCCAAGGGAACAATCCTCTAGTAGCCCTAAATTTTAATTCTCTCAGTGAGTTCAGTCACTGAATATCCTTTCAAATTATTTTTTTGTTTTGTTTTCAAAGCTTAAGCAATCATAAAAGAAATGAAATGCCCAACTGGCCTCTGCTGTTTTAAAAAGTTGTTAATGCTGGCGCTGCATGTTTCCATAAACAGCTTAATACCTCAAACTGTAAGACTTTTGCCCACACAATACTGTAACAAGGTAACTTCAAGTGTCTTTGAATACGACATGCTATCACAGATTTGACTATGACATGTGGGTAAGCCTGCACAGACACGAAGCCTTTGAAGCATACACCTACACTACCAGACAGGGGTTAAACCTAGCACTGTCCAAACCTTCTCACATGCAGCCTTATAGCACCTTCCAGTACCTGAAGGGACCTACACAAAAGCTGGAGAGGGACTTTTTACAAGAGCATGTAGGGATAGGACAAAGGGTAATGGGTTTACACTGAAAGAGGGGAGATTTAGACTAGATCTAAGGAAGAAATTCTTCCCAGAGAGGGTGGTGAGGCACTGGAACAGGTTGCCCAGAGAAACTGTGGATGCCTCATCCCTGGAAGTGCTCAAGGCCAGGTTGGATGAGGCTTTGAGCAACCTGGTCTAGTAGAAGGTGTCCCTGAGGGTTGGAACTAGACTATCTTTAAGGTCCCTTCAACCCAAACCATTCTATGATAAGCTCTTAGTTTCCTTGCCAGGCACTGAGCTGTTTCTTAGGATAACAGATCCTCTTCCCTTTCCACTCTGTGATGTTTTAACCCTCCTTGGATCTTAAGAGCACATGGGAAATGCACCTCCCAATCCCTACTTCGTAAACTCTCTGAGGCAGGTTAAGAGAAGTTACTTACCCTTCTGCCCATCTCTCGTCTGACATATAAATGTTCCCATACAACTGTCCATAGTAGTTTGTGCAATATTATTTCTCAGCCTACCCTCAGTGCTATTTAAGATGGGCTTGTGGAAGATTGTGTGAGAAACATAATCAGTGAATTGGTACCTGGCTTTTTTCCCCTTCCAATAATTGAAGACGATGTGTAGAATAGAAAAGGAGGAAGAGGGGAAAATTAATCATTTGTAACAGGAGAGAGCTATATACTGAGTCTTGAAAAAAGATGCATGGTTGTAACTACAGATTAACTACACTCTTACAGGTACCAAGGGTTTTTATCTTGTTGCCATTGAGTCAAAAGAAACACCTTAGGCTAAACCAAACAACTAACACCAAGGAGTACACGCACGTGTAAAAAATTAGCAAGAACTGTTGCTACAGAAAACTTCCGAATCCAAAAGTTCCTGCTAATTTTATATTTAAGAAAGGATACCCTCCCTCCTCAACAAGCTATACCAGTAATATCCAGGTTCCACAGCTCTGCTTGGCACAGGTATGAACTAACAAGCATAACCAGCAATCCTTACAGTGTCTAGCTCACCACAAAATCTGTACCAGCTGTGCACTAAAAGTAAGTGTGTGAGCTACTTCTAAATACAGAGAATTTAATCAAAACAACAGACCCTTAAAATCCCTTGAAATTCCCAGGAGGTCAAAGTACTTCTAAAGTTAAAGGCTTTGTTGCTAATACACCAAAGCACATTTTGAAGTTCAGGAACGTACAATTCAGTTTAAGAAATACATGTGGAAAATGAAATTTAAACCTAAACATAGTAAGACTGCATTCCCAACTTTCCCCAAGCATATTCCTTTGAAGAGCATACATATTTCTGTTGCTTTTTCTCCACCAGAAAGCTGACAGCTATTTTAAGGAGTGATTAATCCCAGCAGAGTTATTTCTCTCGAAGACTACTACTAAATTTAACAGACAATGGAGAAATTTACTGTTAATGGGCATTCACATATTTAAAAAAGGTCCATGTTTATGCATTGCTAAGCATTTTTTTTAATTTTGATTATACAACTGAATAGTCAATGCTTATAAAGCATTGACTATAGCCCTCCAACATACAAGTATTTTATACCTAATTGGAATAGCTCAGTGCTCCCAGAACTTTTATTTGGGATGCTATTTGCTAGATTTCAGCAGG